GTCTAATTGTGGCGTGATGGTTGACGTAAGACTATGGGTTCTGGCATAAGTAGTGGATTTAACTAGAATGTTCTATGCCCTACCTATTCTCGTATCGCGGATATCTTCGGAACCGCTAGGCCAAAATAGGCAATATGGTATCCGTTCTGCTCGTAATTGACCTATGCATTTTATGCATATTTTTGTTTGTAAGGATAGGCTTATCCTGACCCGCTTTTCCTAGAGGAAGGTATAGATGTCTAGTAGAGGTCTTTGTCTTTTAAGGGTTATTCCCTTAGACTGTATTATAGAGCCTCTTTTTACTAGCTTATTCTATAAAGCCTCCCTATGCCTATTATTTCTTTATAACAGTAAAATAGGAATATAAGGGTATATTCTTATAATCTATTAATTAATATCTTATACTATTATAAAGTAAGTAGAGGTATATATATAGGTACTATCTATAAGATAATATTAATAAGCTATACTAAGGTTTTTTATATATAGCTAGCCTATATATATATATATGGGATCTAGCCCTTTATATATAACTATATAGCTTAAGCTATAGCTTAAGCTTATAACCTATAATAGTTAAAGACTTTTATAGTTAGTTAGAATTACGTTAGCCTTACTATAAAATAACCTTAGAAAGTAACTCCTTTATATACGCGGTATATATAGCGTTAATTAGTAGTATAAGCGTTTTTTAGTTAATAGTTAATTATATAATTATCCTTAACCTTATCCTATAATAATATCTTCTTAGGCTTTACTTTATTTTTCCGCTATAAGGCTTAGCGGGCTAATTTTTATTAATACCGGCCTTTAGTCGGGCTAGTAGTTAGGTTATTATACTAGCTTCGCGCCGTACTTTTTTAGTTATTAGTATCGGCCCTAGGTTTTTATTTTCCCGGTTAAGGGGCCTAGACTAGGGTTAAGGGGAGGTTTTAATAAATTTATCGCTAGGTCTAGGCCGGCGTACTTATAGCGGGGCTAGACTACTAGTATATTTTTAAGCGCTTTTAAAAGCGCTAATTAGCTAATTAATAAGTAGGTTAGTATAGTTTACTAGTTTAATTAAAAATTAATTATACCCTTAGCTAGATTTAAACTAACTTTAGCGTTATAGCTAATAGACTTCTTAGGTATATAACTACTTTACTTTAATAGTAACTTAGCTATATTAAGTTCGCTATAATTAATATAGAGCTTTATAAAGAGGTTAGTTAGTTTATTTATAATAATATATATAAATAATAAGAGATACCTTTATAAGTATAAATATAAGCTTATATAAAGATAGTTAAATTAAGTATAAATATCCCTTATTATAGCGCTATTAGTATAGAGTTTTACTTTTATATAAAGTAGCTATAGCTTAAGCTTTATAAAGGAGCTATTAAACTTACTAAGGTATAGTAGTACTACTCTTAGTTATATAAAGCCCTACTATTATAAAAGGCTCTTAATTACTTAAGCGAACTAAGTATTACGTTCGCTTTAATTTTATAACTATAAGAGTATAGATATTATATATATATATATACTAGCGCGGGCGGTTTAACTAAACTAAGTAATTAAACGTTAGCTTTAAAAGTAGCTAAAAATAGCTATTCTATATATAGGGATATAAGGAGGATAAAATAAAGGGTAGATTATACTATTATAGAGTAGGTAAAGGTATAGGCTTAAGTATAGTCTATTAAAAGAAGGTTAATAATTTATAAAGGGGAAAAAGAAGAAAAGTATAAGCTTAGCTAATATAGGTATAAAGGCCGCTTATATATAAACTTAGCTTAGACCTTAGTTTAGGCCTATATAAGGTAAAAGCCCTTATATTACTAAACCTCTCTTTATAAGTAGCTAATAAAGACTAAAGAGGTCTTTTAAGTAAGGGTCCTTAAGCCCTTCTTAGCTAGCTAGTTAGCTAGCTTATTACTAAAGATCCTTAGGTAGCTAGGGCACTAGTATAGCTATATATTATAAAAGGCTTTTAAGCTAGAAAGGAGCCTTTTAATATATATAGCTAGGTCTAAGAAACTTAGAACCTTCTTTATAGTAACTTAGCTATCTATAAAGATATAAGCCTTTATAAGGGGGTTAAGGGGGCTAAGCTTAAGGGCTAAGGCCTCTTAGCTAAGTCCTCTAAGACCCTTAGTATTATAAATAGCTCTACGTTAGCTACTTTAATTAAGGGCCCTAGGTTCTTATAGTATGCCTTAATAGGCCTATTTTCTAAGCTTATTTTATAAAAAGAGTAAGTATTAGTCTTTATAAGGGACCCCTTAAGGCACCCTTTAAAGCTATTAGTATTAAAGGCTAAGGGTTATAGCCTAAAGTCTTTTAGGCTAGCTAGGCTAGCTAAGAAGCGTTAGTACTACTTCCTAGCTAAGGGCTTAAAGGCCTTTATTATTATAATAAAGGCCTTAGGCTCTAGGGCCTATAAGGGCTCCTAGCTAGCTTTCTTTCTTTCTAAGTTATAATTAGGTACTATAATAGCTATTAAGCCTTTAAGGAGGCGGAAGAGCTATAGATAGGGCCTAATATAGCTTAAGGCCCCTAGGTTAAAGCCTAAGTTAGCGAGGTTATCCTATATAGCTAGGTTATAAGCCTACCTTATAGGGTAACTAAGTAAGAAGTATAGGATCTAAAAGATATAAGAGAGGTATACCCTTTTAAATTATACTTTTAGTAGTAGTAGGGCCGCTTTAGCTTTTAAAGCTTTAATAAGGGATCCTTTAAAGGCCTATAAAACCTTTAAAAGAGCTTAGTTTTAAAGCCTTTAAAAAGGCTTTATAAGGCTTTTAAGGGTCTTAGGCCCCCTATACTAAAGTTAGGCTCCGTAGTTTACTATAAAGGTTATATAGGCTTAGTAGAGCTGCCTAGAGGCTCTAAATAATAAGCCTCTTTATATAGAGGTTAAGCTAGATAGTCCTTTAAAATTAGCTTATATAGAAGCTAACTTCTTTTTAATATATTATTTAAATAGGAGCCTAGAATTAAAGAAGATCCCTAGCTACTATACTAAGGGCTTTACCTCGAAAAATAAGCCTCCTACTATTATACCCTCTAAAATAAGCTGCCTTTACCTACTAAAGTAAATAAGTTCCGTCTTAGAGGGGTCGAAGTAGACCCCTTAATCCTTAGCTTATTTAAATAGGTTAGTAGCTATAGCCTCTAGCTACCGGACGTTCTTCTTAGCCGAGGTCGACGTTATAGAGATACTAAAGTTATTATATAGGATTACTAGTACCCCTTAGCCGCTAGTATTCCCCTTACGTATTAGAGGAATAAACCTATAATAGACCTAGGAATAGGTATAAAGGGGTCTCGAGGCGTATATTTAAGGTCTTATTTAACTATTAGGCTGGTAAGCTAGACGACTAGCTCTTATTATTTTAACGGGCGCGATTGCACGCATCGCTACGTTTAGTATCTACTAGATTCTATTCTTCTAGTAAGTAATTAAACGAGTTAATAACTTCTGCTACCTAGGAAGCAATGTTCTCGCTAGTATAGGATTACCGTAGCTCTATATATAGATACGCCCTTTAGCTTCGCTATTTCTAATAGCTAGCCCTTAGTCTAACTACCTCCTATTAAGCTTTAGTTAATATATATTACTAAGTACTTATAGGGTTCTAGATATTTAAAGCTTTACTTATAGTTATAGAATCTATATAATAACCCTTAAATCTAGATTCGTCGATAGCGTATAGTATATACTATAAAGGAGAATTCTTACCTCTAAGGGTATTTATATCTCTTTGCTCTTTTTTTATTAAAGCACGGTTAACATCGCCACCATCTCGTGCCGCTAGGATCGACCTAGGCTCCCGGAACACCCTTGCCTTCTTCTATCCTACAATGAAGCCAGAGTGACGCCCATCAGGCGACGCGTAGATGCCTTCCAACTCGTCATCTACAACGCCTTGGAAGGAAACTTGCTTCTCAGTATTATCCAAGTTCCGAGCCCCGACATTGAAGTCGCGCACGAACGGCCTAGGCCAGGTGCTCGATGCCTCTTCGTCCATAGCAGAAACTGAGCTTTGGGCCGGTGAGATCATTTCCTAGCTGAGGGTGAGGCCAAGAGGAGACTCTTCAATAATGGCGGTGGAGAGTTCGTTTCTCACGGCGCACGATACGCGCTGTTCAGAGTCTGGTACCGCCAGGCGCCAGATGTGGCCGACGTAGGAGGTCAGGGTTCTCGTCTGGTTCGGCTGTAGCGATCCGTAAGATCGAGGGTTCCCCGAATTGCTAATCCAGGAGAGGGAGATGAGATTAGCGGTGCGATGTAACTGCCTCGGAGGCATGTGCAGTACAATATTTTGCGAACGTACAGACTGGGGCGTAGCTGGACTATTAGAATCGTTTCTAGCGATTATCTCAGTTACACATAAGGTTGCTTACGGGCTAGAGTTAATTATTGGTATCCTAGTAATTATACTAGGAGTAACGTATTGATAACTCTACTCACGGATAGAATATAGTAGTGGATTAGCAACCGTACAAAGTAGCACCCGGCTCACAGGCTAGAGCAGACATAATATTCGTTAATATACTTGATCGAAATTTCTGCGATAAAAAGCATAGCTTACAGCCTATTATAGAACAAAATGAGTAGAAGATGTTAATTTCTGTATCCAGCCACGCAATACCAATGTGGAAGGACTTACACCCTTTGAGATTTGTGTAAGCAACGATATCAAACATAACGGATGGAATCCACGTGTACTTACAGGCTGACAGGAGTACATTCATTAGTACTGTAATAGATGGTTATGTCGTGTACGATTAGGGAGGACTTACGCCCTAGAATGGTGTTACTGCCATACTATTAACATGTTAAGTAGTAAGCATTACTTGCTCGCTATAGAAGGGAAGGGATGGTGAGCAGAGGCCAAGATATTAGTAGGAAATAAAGTCATGAAGGTTTAAAATATACTTTATTTTCCATTTATAAAGGTTACTTTAATGTAAGTAGAACCTTTCAGAAGATTTCTCTATATAGTAAACTAATACTTATGTCGTCTTGTATAAAACTCGTCCCGGACGACCGAATCCTCGGCCAGCTCATAAGCTGTCTGCCCTCTGGAATTCCGCATATTGTCGTCGGCGTGGTGAGCCAGCAGCTGGCGCACAAACGACGCCTTCCACAGGTAGGCGGCGAGCATAGGCGGAGTCAGGTCCTCTTTGTTCTGGCCTTCAAGGTTGGCGCCGCTCGTGGCCAGGAGGTGAACCGTCTGCATGTTGGCCTTGTCACTGCTGACGGCGTGGTGCATCGCCGAATAGCCCTTCTCATCGACCCGGTCGCTGTCCGCCGCGTTGCGTAGCAGTAGCCGGAGCCCCTGGTTGAAGCCGTGCCTGGCGGCGTAGTGCAGCGCCGTCATGCCTCGGCGGTTCAGCCTATCGCACGAAGCCTTATGCCGCAAAAGCGTCTGCATCATAGGCTCGCTCTGCTGCAGGGTTGCCAGCGAAAGGGCCGTGTGGCCATGGGCATCTTGCCGGTCGAGGTGCCCAAGCCGCGATGCCCGCCGCGCCAGCAGCTTGTCCGTTTCCGGCTCCCAACGCAGCACGGCGTGGTGTAGCGGCATGAACCCTGTGCTATCTGGCCGGGCGCCCTGTGCGCCCTGCGTCAGGAGAAACTCGACGTCTCTCGCGGAGCCGCGCTGGGAGGCTCGGTGTAGCGGCATTCTGCCCTCTTCGTCGGCGACGTCGACATCGACCCCGTGCTGGCATAACAGCCAGGCCGTGGCGAGGTCCTTGTTCCCCATAGACAGCTTCAGCACCTTGCTGCTATGCAGATGGGCATCCGCCTTTCCCGTGACTAGCAAGAGCCAGACGATGGCCCTCTGTCGGCTCTTGACGGCATGGAGCAGCGCTGGCCAGCCGTTGTTGTCGACCGTATCTGGCCTGGCGCCGTCTATTAGGAGTAACCAAACTAGCTCCTCGTCTTGGTACTTGACGGCCTGGATGAGCGGCGTCCATCCGTCATCGTTGCTCTCGTTGACGTCTGCTCCATGCTCGATCAGCAGCCGTACCGCCGCCGATTTCTTATAGAACACGGCCCCTCGAAGCGGCGACTTTACATCGTTTAGATCCCGAAGCCCGACGTCAGCCGGGCACGGCTCCCGTTCCAGCAGACATCTTAGCATCCGGACACTCCCTGTGTTGGCTGCGTGGATCAGCGGCAGCCAGCCATCGCTCGTAGGACGATTAAGGTCTACACCGCGATCGAGCACGACATCGACGAGGTACTTGACGTTGTCGCCGACGGCCTCGTTCAGCGTTGCCAATTGGTCGGCCGAGGCATCCGATGAATGGTTTATGTGGGGGCCGTAGGAGAACAGCTCTCTTAGGGAGGTCCATCCCTTGGTGATTTAAGCATTCAGATCAACCTGGCCCTTGACGAGGATCTCGGCAAGGGCCGTGGGACCGTAGCGGATTGCCCACGATAGAGCCATCACCCCTCTGGCGCCGAGCATGTCAATCCTGACACCGCGGTTGACCCGGGCCTTCACGATTCTAGTGCTGTCCGTCGGCGGCCTTATCAAAGCCAGATGGAGTGGCGTGTCGCCTGTTTTCTCGCGTATATTGGGGTTTGCCGAATGCTCCTGAAGATGGGACACTAGACGTCGCCGGCCGAGCCTGACGGCCCAGTGCAGAGCCGTCTGGCCGTCGGAGCATTTCGCGTTGATGTCGACACTTGGCGTTTTAATCAGGGCACTGGCCCATTGCGAGATATTCAGAAAAACAGTGGCGTGTAAGCCGGTCATGGTATCCGTGTCGTAGTCCCGGGCCTCGGGTATGGCCTTGAACGCTCTGCTGAGCTTCCCCCTATCCTGCAAGAAGGCTCGGGCCAAAATATCATCCTCCGAGTCGGTGCCTGGAGAGCAGTCGCCGGCATGCAAGCTCCAGTACCTTGCGGCATACGGAAGCATGGGACTCGCCTTGTCGACCAGCAGACACTCAAGGCATGTTGCAGCCATGATTGAATCAGCCTGCTTATATGTTACGCTGTTTTTCCGAAGATAGTCACGTACGGACTGGTGGACCAGCGAAGAATACCGTTTTCCGGATCCATGACGAGCAAACCGGCGCATACCGACACCACCAAGTCTCTCAGGGGGCGGTAGTCGTAGTAACATGAGCTATTCCACTTGCTATGTTGTATGGCGAAACTGTCTTGGACCTGGTCGATGGTGAAGTTGACCTTTGCATGGACGACTCATGTGAGGGTGTGCTTGGCTAGTTCTCTATCAAATGCGGTTTGCCTTTCGGTGATTTGAGAAATGGAGGCCTTGAAGACGAACTCCAAGTCGGTGGGGAGACGGGAAAGGGCGCCTTTGACATCAGCGTAAATGCTACACTTGCTGAGGTTGTCTAGGTGCAACCTAGCCAAGAGGAACCTAAGCCCTGTCAACAGAGCCCTAATTATAACCAAGGCGAGTCGAAGGGATATGCTAGGCAGGACTTACATGCCGCTCTTTAGGGTGAGAGCGGTAACCTTTTCAACCACCGCCGTCTTATCCTCGGGTCCCTCTTGAATCCGTCTTAGGTGCGTATAGCTCTCTATCCGGCTCTCTATTTACGTCTTAATATCGACATCTCTTGGTTTGACGTGTAGTCTAGAGTTGGCACCTCCGAGATGGCTGGCAAGCGAGTCCATCCGGGACGAGAAGAGAAGTCTCACATTGCCGGGGAGCTTCTTTAGAGATTTGCCCCAAGTGTCTCCTCTATAGTGGCTCGGGTAGCAATCCAGGGCGTCGAGCACTAGATAGACGGTCCGGAGCGTGGCGGCCTGGGCGATGAAAAGACACCAGTAATCGTGGGGAGGAGCGCCGATGAGCCTTGAAGAGACGTTTTAAATTCGGACACCACCTCTGATGCGATGGGTCCTTGCTGCAACAGCTGCTCGAGTAGGGTGGCCCAGACGTGTGGGGGCGGCGGAGGATCCTCCTCCCGTTGGAAATAGATGTAGATGCAAGCAATGTCGGTTTGTCTCTTACAAGTAATCTCTTGCTGAATCGTGTCGATGATGAGCGAGCTGGGCGGCCCAAAATTAGCACAACACTTCAAACGCCTGTCCGCCAGCCGTCATTCACGAACATGAGCATGGATTTCCCCGATCCCACCATTCCAGGGGTCAGCAAGACCAGAAACAACAACACACGTTCCAAGACGTGGTTGCTTACAGATGCCGTGCATCAACAAGGCCTGCGATGGAGCCGAAACTTCTTGTTCCTTCCACGACTGGTATTCAGGGCTGGCCAGTATCCATTTGCCCGTCTTCGGCGCCGCCTGGCTCAACAGCTCGATGTGTTGCTGGCGATATTCCAGGGGGCCCTGGCCGGGCTGACGCTTGAGCCAGTCGATGATGGCGACTGCGAGCACGAATTAGCCGCCCGGCTACTGAATCCCCCCATTCCCCGGCGAGGGCCACTGTACGCTTTGACTCGTCCCAAGCGCCCCCCGCGCTGCCTGATGCCTGGAGATGTATAAAACAGGGCAGTCAGAAATCGGCGCAATCCAGCGGAGCGAGATGGGAAGGCTGGCCGTTGATGGCCTCACTGTGAATCGTGCGGCGGTCGATGCGGTAATTGTACTGCGTCCCATTGCCAAAGGCCGCGTTTTGGTCCCCGGTGCCATGAGCAAAGAACTGGCTCCCAGACGACCTGTTTTCTGCCGTGTAGTGCGTCTTCGCGTCGTCTGCATCCGGCGGAGCCATCTTGCCCTATTGCCTCGAGTTGCCGCCTGTTAAGAGTCAAGCTTCCGGTCGTGGGTACTGCAGCCGTTGGCTACAGGCACCACATACGGCTCCGATTGATAGACCCAAGGTCCCAGAGACCCCAAAGAAGTCATATTACGAGGCTGACACTGACCCTGCCATTTGCCCGTTGGCTGGGCTCACGGCGCAGGGCCTTTAGGATCGCGCTGCTTGTATTAATAATAGTGCCCTATAAGCTCTTTATAAATGTAAAGAAAGCTAACATTAAAGGTATTTACTAGCTTCAACCAGGAAACATTATACATACTGCATCCATTGCTCCTAAGGCAAGTGGATTTGCTAAGCAGCTATGTCTTCGCGAGCGGTCGTCGGGCTATCAGAGTCATACGAGACGTGCTCTACTGGTTGCATTTTGTTATCGCGGACAAACCTAGACGCAATTTTACTGTAACCAATGGTCTTTAAGAAGCTGAGAAAGACACGGGTCTGGGAAGATATAAACCTGCTGTTGTGACGAATCTTAAGCCCCGGGACGACCAGGACGTCTCGGGCACCTCGGAGCCGGAGGAAACTCGGGGTATTGGCGCTTGTGGCGGCGTCTGTCCTGGTCCAACTCGTCCAAGTCGCGCCGCCCCTCTGCGCTCAGCGACCGAGTCTGTCTTTGCCGCTCGCGTGCGTCGTGAGGCATCGTCTGGGGTGGCGAACGCGTGACCTCGTATTCGCAGCTGGCCTCCGAGACGGACGTTGCGTTTTGTGTCGGGTGCTTTGGCATAGTTGAAATTTATAACGCGGCGAGGTTTCCGTCAACTTCCAAGGACGGCGAGAACGGCATATCGATTTCCCCTATCAATAGAACCCGACTTTCGCGACTGCTTATAGATACGGGTCAGCTGAACAGTACCCGTTACTGCCAGGTCCAAAGCTAGGGATCATGGGGAGGGCCATGTAAAGGTATGACTAGTTATTCGGTCCTTGCATTGAGCGAGCGTGTGTAGATTCACTAGATTGCACTGTCCTTCCTGGAAGAAGGGTCCGCGTGTGTGACTATATATATGTACATGATGTGCGGGGACCAATAGGATTCCTTACTTAACAGGCTGGAAATAGATATGTAGAACCAGATGTGACTTCCTGTATGTCTTATATATATTGCCGCATTTAGTGGCTCTCGAAGCGGCCCTAATGCTCTTGTCTGGTTTTGCTACTAATTAGTAGGCGCATTTCACGGTGTTAAGACTACTAGTGGTTTTTATACATCAGTCAATAATATATCTTAGCTTATAATCCACCCCTTAAAGCATCTTCCTCGGGGGAACAGCAACAACTGGCGTCACCTTGTTATCGCCAAAGTCGGGAATTGCAGTAAAATTCAGGGGGAAGGCACCCTTCCAGCCAACAGGAGCGCCAGTGTGGTTCATAAAGTCCATCGCCCACTCCTCCGTTGTCATCTGATTGTATTCCTTGGCCACGCTCCCGCCCCCGAGCTGTGGCATCCCAGGGCTAGGCTCGTATTTGTCGTACGCGCTGTTGTACTGCTCGTTCTTGGTGAATTGTTGGTCAGGAAACCTTTTGACAAAGGATGCAAAGTATTGGTAGCTATAGAGGTCTTTCCTAGTGAAATCATGCCCAGTCAGGTTCAACGGGCAATACATGTAGCCCGTGATCTGGTCCCAGCGGATCCCTCCCATGGCGGAGAACTCCTTTTCGCTGGCGTAGGAAGTCTGGAACAGGGAATCATCCATATCAATCATGTTGGGCGAGGGGTGAATCTCATAGATCCAGCCGGGGGCGCGGTCGTTTGGTCCCCCCTTTTGAGTGGCGAATCCAACCGCGACGCCAAAAGACCATGTTGTCGACACGTATGCGGTGCTGACCTTTCTCTGTCCCAGATGGTGCACTTGCAAGCTGTATGTTTCGTTCGTTGTTGGTCCCTTGGACCTGGGCGGAATTCCTCCCAGCTTAATTAGTTGCCCCGGAGATCTCTGATCGCCTCGGTAGAGAACCTTTACAGGCTTGGGCTTGCGGGGGTGCCCCGCCTGGCGGACCTGCAGATTCTCAAGCGATGGGCGCTTCTCTCCCCCGTTGGTATCCGCTACGGGCAGGAAGCGGGGGTAGTCTGAGATCCGGGAGGTTGATCCCTGGAGTGGTTCAAGAGGAGCTGGTGCGGCGTGGGTGATGCCCGAGAGCTGGAGGAGGCCAGTAAAGGCCAGGACGACCAATGAAGACCGAGGCACCATGGTGACTGCGATGAAGAGATTCAAGTGAGGTTTCTTGGTTTCAAAGTCAAAGGTTTCGGTCGTGCAGCTTTGTGACAATCAGTCGAATAGCTTGCTTGGTACAATCAAATTGCATGACAGACGGGCGGCTTGTTATAAGGAGTGACGAGCACAGCCCCGAATGCAGACTCGCGTATGTCGATGTCTCGATGCTAATATACACATACGGGCTAGGTTGCTACCCGTTTGTATACTCGATTCTCCCGACGTGCAGCGGGACTTACATGCAACGTTGCCAAAGTAGCAAACGCTCCCCCGCGATCAACGCGCATTCCGGATCATTCCAACCTCGTCCGCCATCTCAACTCGTTGCGCTAGGCCGCTGAGCTCTTCTGACCCAAGCAAGAGCCGAATTATTGAGAGCTACGACATCGCCCCTGTGCATGCTATGCTACGTCGGAGAGCCTGCATTCGTATATAAACGCCGGCAGCGTCCCATCGTTGCCTTTATTCTCCCTGCACGACATGGATGCTTGCCGGCATAGCCCGCAGATGTCAGGCCATGGCACTTCGGAATGGGAGCCGATTGGAACATGAAGGCGGCGGCGGCCATCCCGCGCAACTCATCATCGTGGTGCTTTCTGACGCACTGAGAACCTGTGAACCGGGGGGTGTCTCGCACATTAGAGTATCCGTCATAATCCGCGCACAAGATCCGGGCCATCCCGCCCAGTCTGATCCGCGATGCAGTTACGGCATAGACGGGCCTGTCCTCGAAAATGGGATATATCAGCAAAAGTCACCAAGGCAAAGACGACTTACCGTGAAAATGCTCAAGTTGGTGAGATGTGCGGCCGTGAAGGCCCACTGCTTACCAAAATCAAGAACACGGAGGATCTTTGTTCGATAGGCGAACGTTTCAACTGTCTTTAAGCCTCCGCTTGGCTCCCGCTTGGTTGTCATATTGCATACGAAGAGAATGAAGTCTTGGCAAGGCGGTGTCGGAACTTCCAAGTTTCTACTCAATGCGAACCATCCAACGTCTGGTCGGGTCAAAGAAGTCGAGTATAGACACATAGTCCTCGTAGATAACGCACCAACGGACTAGTCCGCTGTAAGCAATGATAGCTTCCCTGTCTCTGGGCATATGATTTCAGATACATGTTGGGAGCAATTGGCTCAATGCTGCCTCAATGCTGCGAGGCTTCTACATTGCGCCAATGAACACTTGCGAGTCCGTTCTCTTCTAGTGTTTCCAAGTGGACACATTACGTAGGTGCCAAGATGGCAAGCCGTTTCTTGAGCCTTTTTCGGCAGCCAGACTTGGAATGCGTTAGCCTCCTGAGTTGTTGTATCCGCAAGGGCAGCTGGCAGTTGGGGATTGCCAAGGGAAGCCACAGGACGCCCAAGACAGGTGCTAATCCGGCCCACGCAGTTTCGCAACTTGATAGTGGCGGTGGTCTGGGGAACTTGAAATCCAATGCAATGTGACGCCAGTTACATCATACATGTTGCTCCGAACATCCAGTAAAATAGGACGTGACAGGGACAATCAATTGTTAGGTGGGTCAATACATGCTCCCAAGAATCGCCACATTCAAGGGCACGTACCTGCGAGTAGAGTAGACTGTCTGAGTCAGACAAATGGGGATGAATAAGCAACTATCGTGAGATTCTTTCGTGGTGTTGAGGGACAGTGCAACCATCAGCTGGCCTTTGAAAGGCTGCATACCCCCGACCGTTCTACCTCGGCCCCACGTATAGGGTAGGCCGGGCCATCCAAACACGTTGCGGATCCTTGCCAAAATCTCGAGAAGCCTCTCCCAATCACACGCGCCGAGGCTCTCTCACACCTCGCCAACCGAGGCCACCTTTCACTCCTCGACTCCCATCCCGTTGGCAAATCGGTCGCCCGCCACTAGCACCGACGCCGGCATCGACAACCCGCGACAACTCGACACCTACCCGCCGCTCCGCCACCGCCACCCCCCTCCAATTGGGAGCTCTCTTCAACACTCTCCCAACGCCATCGAGGGCATCGTTTGCGTGCGCCACCCGTCGCCCACAACAGCAGCAGTAGCCATGGACGCCCTCCGCTCCGCCATCCAGCCAATCACGCACAACCTCCCCGGTCCGATCCGCAACCTCGGCGTGTCCCTCATCGGCGCGCCGTGCTACAAGACGCTCGTCCTCGACGTCGACCTCGACAACACAGAGTGCGTCAAGCTCGCCGTCAGCAAGGGCCTCGGCATCGGCATCGTCGCCGCCTCGTCCATCGTCAAGGTGCCCCAGATCCTCAAGCTCGTCCGCTCCCAGTCGGCAAAGGGCGTCTCCTTCCTCTCCTACCTCCTCGAGACGAGCGCGCTCCTCATCACCCTCGCCTACAACGTGCGAAATGGCTTTCCCTTTAGCACCTACGGCGAGACAGCCCTGATCATGGCCCAAAACGTCGTCATATCTGTCCTCGTCCTCAACTACAGTGGCAGGGCCGGCATGGCCGCCGTTCTCGTCGCCGTCCTGGCCGGGTCCGCCGCCACGCTCTTCACCGACGGCATCTTGGACGCCCAGGCAATGGGCTACCTGCAAGGCGCCGCTGGCGTCCTCGGCGTCGCGAGCAAGCTGCCCCAGATCTTGGCCATCTGGCAGCAGGGCGGCACTGGCCAGCTCAGCGCCTTCGCCGTACGCCGCCTGCCCTAGACTTTCTGCCCCCCCCCCCCATGCCTTGACCGTGCTCTGATCCGTTCATCCCCTAGGTCTTCAACTACCTCCTCGGCTCGCTGTCGCGCATCTTCACCACCCTGCAAGAGGTCGACGATAAGCTGATTCTGTACGGCTTCGTTGCCGGGTTCCTCCTCAACGCCATTCTCGCGCTCCAGATGGTCTACTACTGGAACGCGCCGTCGGAAAAGGCAAAGGGCAAGCGCAAGGAGGCCCCGGCACAGGGCCGTGTTGTGTCTGCGACATCGAGGTCTACCAACAGCCCATCCACCCGACGGCGTGGTTGAGGGCCTGTCTTTCTTGTCATTGGCGCTTGATGATGGGGTTGCCCTTGTATACTCTCCTCGTCTACACGATGGAATATTGTTCAACCCTGATTGTGCAAGCTGTCGTTAAGGCTGATGCATTGTGCCGTCCGCCCTTTGCCTCGATGCTCGTATTGGCACCTCGCCGTCCAGAATAAGACTGCCCGAGCTGGATGTCCACCATTACGTCTCCACATGAGATGGGCAAGAGTAAATAATGACTCGAGGAGCAATGAAAGACGCCAAGTATTGTTACATCAGTGTTCAATGGTCAACCAACTGCTATATCGCTGGTCTCTGGCGTGTTTCTTGCAACGCAGGATACCTAGAAAATGCTGTACTCGTGAAGTAGCCGTGAGAAGTACAATTATTACGCATTGAATTTCGGTATTGCGACCCAATGATTCTCCTCGCCAAAACACCAATCCCAAACAACAAACGCTCGAATTCCACGGTCCCACGATCAATCGCCGTCATGGCCGTTCAGCAAACCGAGACTCCGTTATTGGCCCAGCCAATGCCGCCGATCCAGACTCTTTTTCCCGCGCACTGCAGGCACCGCTTGTCCTCGCCGAGATTGCTGACAGAGCAGCTGAAGCAGACGTGCTTCCCACAGGCGCGGCAAGCGGTGTTGGCGCCATGGAAGGGGAAGTCGTCGAGGTCCATGAAGTCGCCGCCGCCCTCCTCCCTCAGACCGGCTCCGCAGTCCTGGCAGCTCGACGGGGCCTCGACGGGCAACGGTCTATCGGAAGCCGGAGAGGATCCGGCCGAGGTGGGCGCCGAGTGGATGGTCCAGAAGCGGTGCAGAGTTTGCTGGTCGCGGAGGGTAGAGGACGGGTCCGGGGTGAGAGATGGCTGCGGGGCCGGCGAAGGATCGTGTTGGTGCCGCCGTTGAGCAGAGTAGAGGAGACCGAGGGTGTGCTCTGCGGACAGGCATGAGTTTTGGGCCTGGCGGTGATGGGCGCGCCGTTCGTCAAACTTACGATGGACTTGATCGTCTGACGGCCTGCCGTCGCGGAAGCGCTTGAGAGTGCGGCTGGGGAGATGCGGGGCCGGCGCATTGTACGAGGCATGTGGAGGGACGTTGATGATCTGGTTGTGGTCGGGGGAAGAGGCGAGCTCCGAGGCAGAGCGCTTTCGTTTGAGCATGGTGGGCGGTCGAGGACGACGAAGAGGGGGGCCAATTGATGTCGATTGCTGTGCCTGCCGAAAAGGATGGGGAGAGTAGATGAGGGTGACGATTTCGGGGACGATTATAATGTTGACGCGGCGGTAAAGAACGACAATGGGACGCTGACAATGGATGGGCTGACAGAGGAAGAGGGAAGTTATCCGAAGGTCACTGCTGGCAGGCGAGTGAGTGGCTGTGGCTGGGGCGTCAGGTCGCGGGAGAGACGCGCCGGACAGCTTTACGCGTCGGTGCTTGGACGGGGCCGGGCGCTAATAGTGGTTACGGTGCCGGTATGGAGTACTTGAGAGCAAGTATTGCGCCACTTCTTGACGCCGGTCAGGTACAAGCCCCGAGGTAGCTCGTTCTTTGGGGCGAACAAAGGGCTTCAATTACAGGGGCCGAGATTGTACCTAGAGAGGGGAAGCCTAAGTACTAACCACAAATACAGTAGGCCACTGGCTCCCGCACAGATGACGGCCGCCAACATCCTACAGTGGAAGAGAGGGCCAGGGGCTTTACGGCGCCCGCATGGTACCTAGACAGTCTACTCTACATGAGGGTATTTTCCCTTTGGAGCACAAGCCGACATGCCTACACGGCAAGACAATGGATGCTACCAAATGGCCTGGCCGCCTCTTCCGTTCCCAGAGTTGCCAACGCCACGCCAATTCAAGGACCAGTACTTGTCCGACGGCTTCAACTGCGAAGCCAGGGGTCGTCGGCCAGCTGTGCCGCCGTTTTCCTGTCCTCGGGCCGCCACTGAAGCATCCCCCTCACGAACGCCAGAAACATGTCCTTCTGGTTGCCTTCGAGCGACGTGACCGCATCTTCCAGCCTTGTGCCCTGCGGCACCGGGACATCAGCTTTCCATTCGCCTAATAACCGTTAGAGCGACCCTGAGTACGAATGGCTCGGGCTGGGGATCCGTACCATCTTCTGTGAAGAACTCCTTGCTCCGCCTTCCCTTTCGGATAAGATCCAGCGGCGGAGGCCCCAACATGCCGATCACCTCGGCGAGGTGCGCGCGGGTGGTATACGGCCTTCCATCCGGGTCGTTGCCGTAGAAGAGATGTCTCCCCTCGAAGAGATCCCAAATCTGCCGAGGAGTCAGCAACGGAATAGTCTAGGCAGCAGAAGCCGACAAGCAGACGCACCATGACGCCCACGTTCCATATGTCCACGGGGTAGCTCCATTCCGTCATCAGCATGACCTCGGGCGATCTGTACACGTCGGGCTGCGCGTCGTGGTTCCTCTTCTCGTCGCCCCGAACCGCCGCGCCGAAGTCGCCGAGAACGACGTCGCCAAACTCTTCAGGGAGGCCGAACCGTCTAGAGGAGTATACCGGGGCGCCGTGAGCGAGTTTCCTAGGTGACGGGGTGGCGAGTTCGGCCTGAACAAAAGCCTCTAGCACCGACCGGTCCACGAGCTCCTGCAAGATGTTGTCGGCTTTGAGGTCTTGGGAAGCAAATTGGGTCAGTACATAGCTTGAGGTCTCTGAGTCATGAGTCTGGTATACCTGTGTGGACGAGATGGCATTCGGTATGCAGATAGTCCAGAGCAAGAAAGAGCTGAGCCAACCCTGCTTTTAACAGTTCCTCGGTGAATCGCCCGGAAGGATTTCGACGCAGCATGTCCTTCCAGCCATCCCACATTGGTTGGTGTACAAGACAATAGTGATGCCCGCCCTCGCGTTGAAGCTCCAGCGTGTCCAAGGCCGTTCGAACGTGCCGATAGCCAGGATGCGAAGAGTTGGCTGTGCCGAGACGTTGATAGATCCCGGACTCATCGCGATCCACGCCCCGTGTAAAAACTTTCAAGGCAACATATTTGCGATCTCTGTTTGCAACGTGTTAGATGCAAGATTGCCCCCGCGTGTGAGCCCGGCCATAACGCCCGGCGCATCTAACATACTGGAGGTTGCGGGCCAGCCATACTGTGGATGTCGTCCCGAAGCCCAATTTGCCTAGTACCTGGTATTTCGAGGCGTAGACGTCCCCTATTTTTACTGGGTAGTACTGTCCAGACTTGAACTCGTCAAAGTGCTCTTCTTCCAGTTTGACGGAATCACTGATGATCTCAAACCCGCTTGGTGGAAACTGGAGGGGGACCATCGGAGCCCGCCGCAGTGGGTTTCTCATCGGCTTGAATATGGACTTCATGTTGGCTTGAGGCAGAATCACGGTTTCCGCGAAGAAGAGCGACCAAGGAAGGTCGCATAATTGATGAAGCTTCTGCTGGAAGAAAGGGGTGCATGAGGCTGCAGAGAGCTTCAGATTATGCCCCACCTTTTATCCAAGCACATGACGCGGGTGGCCTCGAGAGGCGTCAGTGCCAGAGTGGCCACTAGAAGTGCCACAATTAGTGGAACAACTATTAACCCACCCTGGGCTAAATGTGGTTAGATAACCTAACCGCCGCAGCCTGCAAGCCAGCTCAAGAGTGCAGAGGCCAGAGGACCGTAGCATCGAGTCGCATCGGCGGAGTAGCCGCCGTTGGCTGCGGGTCGCCGACATAATGACCTTGGCTTGGAGCTGTACCGTCCAGGGATTGATGCATTCCGGCGGTTAAACCAGGTATCGTGGTTCAGACGCAGTTTCCGGGAACATAGGAGCGGCTAGACTTAAAAATACCTATGGGTATTTGCTTATAGGCTACCTATACCTACCCACGGGCTATTTTAGGGCCACTATAAATACTTAGTAGGTAGGTAAATTTAAAATAGGTACCTAAAAATATATATAGGTATATTCGGGCTACCTATAGGTATTACCTATTTAGTTTTATTATACTAATCGTTTATACTTATCCTAATACGAGGTACCTATAAAATATATATAGGCTATATAGCTAAAAGTAGTATTAAATTAAAGGATAAGATCCTATAGATATTATTTATCCTTTACCTTAACTATCCTTTTAATATTTAAAGTCCTATTATCGCGGTCGAATATTCTCCCTATATCTAGTTCTCTTTATAGAGGAGGCGACTATTGCCTCTATTACTATACGGCCTTTTCGCTTTTTCTTATAGCTTTAAACTTATTCTTCCCGATAAGAGTTACTTTCCTCTATCTCCTTTACTTCCTTTAACTCCTTTACTTCCTCTAACTCCTCTACTTTCTTTAACTCTTTATTACTTAGTAAAGTAATATTAATTATATCGCGATACTTATCTCCCCCTTACTAGCTTTATATTTATATTTAAAGAGAGTCTATAAAAAGCTTTTATTAGATAATACCTATAGGCTATAAGTAAGTATAAAATCTCTTACTTTAATCTTAATCTTCTTTATATAATATTATAGCCTCTTTATTAAGACGAATTCTATTAAAAGGATTCCTATTTCTAAGAGTATAAGATATCTTTAAAGCTACTTTAAGCTTATATAGCCGATCTTTATACTCCTTTATAGGGTTAATACTATTATTAATCTTTATATCTTAAAAAAGGATACTATCTTATATATTAAATCGAGACTATAGGATTAATAGCGTAAATCTTACCTCTAAGTTTAAGAGTTTTATCCTAGATCGCTAATATATATTAATCTACTAGTAAATACTCTAAGCGCGCTTAAGCGGTACGCTACTTAGTTATATTACTAGAAATTCTTATACTATAATATAAATATTCTTATACCTTTTATACTAAAATATATAGCGCTAAAAGCTATATATATCTTAAAATAGTAACCTCTTTAGCTAAGATTAGTATATTACTTATATATTAATATAATTAAATAAAAACTTACTTTCTTTAAAAAAAGCCTTATAAACTAAAATACCTTTATTACCTTATAAAGTCCCTTAATATATAATTAGTATAAATAATTACTATAAATTATTATACTATTTACCTTTATTAAACTAAGAAACTAAGTAAGCTAATCTTTATAAGAGTTAAGAGTAATATTAGTATTAAAGGATTATACTAATAACTATAAGAATCGTTATTAGTAATAGGAAATAAATATATCTTTTTAAGTCCTTTATACTTACTTAGAACTAAGTAGATTAGCTTCGGTCTCTTTCTTTAGTAAAATAGGTAATCTTACTTAATAAATATTAAGCTTACTAATACTTAATAAAGGCGTAAGTAAGGTAGTAATTATATATACTTCCTTTTCCTCTTAAAAGTAGTTAATATACTTAGTAAGCTTTTTCTTTATATTATTAATTACTATTATTAATATACTTTACTAGTTATTACTAGTATTATAAATATTAGTAATTTTAATATAAGAGTAAAAAAGATACTTATAAATTATCTTTAGTAAGTTTTAAGATTCTAAGAGTATTATATCTTTCCCTTAGCTAACGTTATTTATAAGCTATAGGAATATCTTCTTAATATTATTATTATTATTATTATTATTAAGATTATACTAAGGACCTAGCTAGAGGTATCTAGAACTTCGATATTAAATAGGAGGGAAAAACTAAAGTACTTAAGGAAAAACCCTCCCTTTTTTTAGTATAAGTCTACCTTAAATAAGGTCTTAGTAGTAGTATATAAGAAATTTACGCCGGCTACCGCGGGCTTCTCCCGCGCGTTTACTTTTTAGCGTAGGCCCTCTTAGGCTATAGCCGCTTTTATCCTAAGCGGCCGCGGCCCGGGCTCGCTAGCCTAGGCCTAAGGTTATAGGTAGTAGTCTCTCTTTAAGGGCTTAACTTACGGGCGCCTTTATCCCCTACGGCTCCCGCGTTACTACCGCGTAGCTATAGCTACGTCGGCCTATCGGTCTATTAGTTAGTAGGGTAGGTAATATCCGGTTACCGGGCTAGGCGCTAGTATAGGTTACTCCTAGGTAAGGCCGGCTAATTAAAATTCGGTCGGCCGGCTCTATTAATCGAAAATCGGTTCCTATCTAGCCGCGCGACTTCTTAATTAAAGGTATAGCGGTCTATATTTACCGTCTATTACGTAGTTATTAATTACGCGCGCCTAGCTTATATATATATATACCTACCCTTCCCCCTTAGTTTCGTTTTTACCTCCTCTTACCTCTCTATCTATTTTCTCTTTTATAGGCTTTAATTTCTTACTTACCTTATTTCTATATTCCTAGGTCTCTTTAGTATTATATTTAACTTATTTACTATCGCTTTATAATATCTAACTAAGAAGCCGACTTAGGTAATAGTAGCTTGCTTCCTTCTAAGCCCCTTTTTTATAAGAAAGTTACTACTATAGCGGGTTTAAAGCGCTCTATCTTATATTTTATATATATTAAGCGCCTTACTAATAAGCTTACCTATAAGTCTTTTACCGGCTATTAAAACTAGTCTTATAAGTATTAGTCTTAGTTCTATCTTAGGTTAATCTTACTTTTAATGCTTTTCGCTAACTTTACTAACTATAAAGGCTAAAGTATATATTACTTACGCTAACTTTAACTAATCTTATTACTAAGTAAGTAACCCCGTCTTACTATAGTATAGCTTAAGTTTAGTACTAATCTATATTTAGATTACCTTTAAGAGTAAGAAGGCTATACGCGCCCTTTACTAAGCTTAGTTTAAAGTTAACTGCTTTTTCTTTATTAAGGGTTTAGTATAAGAGCGCCTTTACCGCGTTACTTTAAAAACTTATATTTACCTTAGTTAAAAGGCCCCTACCGCTAAGGGTAAGGGCGCGTTAAGTAAGTTTGCCCTTAGTTTAGCTATAGTCGCTAAGAATATTAAGATACTCGCCTTAGCTTTTACTTATTTTATAGATAAAACCCGCTATATATATAAGTCCTTAGAGAAGTACTTAGGTAAGTTTAGCGATACTATTAAGGCCTTAGCTTAGGTCGGGCCTAAGTCGCTCTCGGTTACTTAAAAGACTCTTATAGCGGTTAATAATCTCGCTAATTATTTCTATCCTATCGCTAGTAATAACTATAATAGTAAGAATAATAATAATAATTATATAGGGCCCGGTCTAGCCTCTTTTAGTAAGGGGAAGAGTAAGGGTAAAGGTAAAGTAACTATTATATTTAAGGCTTTATCTAAGGCTAGGGCTAAGGGGTCTACTGCTATTTCTATACCTACGGTCGTTTTAAAGTTAGTTTAGGATCCTACTATATCCCCCTCTATTAGCTTTAATACTAAACTATAGCCCGGTAGTTCTCTTATCTCTAAGCCTACCTTAAAACGTCTTTACCTCGCGTCGCTTACTAACCTTACTAACGCTCCTAACTTTATTTAATAGCGTCTTTATAGTTATTATAGTTCGGTCTTAGCTAAGATTATTATTAGTCTTAACCTTAATTAGATTTATAGTTATAATATAGGCTATAGCGATTGCCTCCGCGCTACTACTAGTATAGGTCTTACCTTAATATAGTTCTTAGTCGTTACTTTATCTTATAAGCTAGCTATCTAAACTAGCTTTAGTTTAAGTTTAAGGTTAGGTCTAGCTAGCCGTTACTAGGCTACTTATAGTAGTAGTAGTCCCTATACTCCTCGTAAGTCCTAGGTTACTCCCTCTTATACTCTACGTACTACCTTAAAGGGGTCTTATTATTCCCGCTATAATAATAAGGTAAATATTACTATTAATAAGTTAGGCTAAAGTTATAGTTTAAGGGGCTAGTTATCGGCACTATCTTAGTTTAGTTTTAGGTTAAGTCTTATTTAGTTATAGTCTTTTAATAGTAGGTTTTATTTTATAGCTATTAAGGCCGGCTTAGTTAGGTCTCCTTAGTTTTATTTAGTCTATAGTTTAAGTAGTAAGGTTTATACTTAGTTTAAGTCTAGTTCGGTTAATACTATAGTCTTATTATTATAAGTTCTCTCCCTTTCTTAGGTCGCCTTAATAAGGTAAGTAGTTAGCTAAGGTAGTCTTAGTTAGGGCCGCTCTATCTCTAGCGCGACCCTAGGGCTACTATCTATTATATCTATATATAGCCTCTAAGCTAGATCGAACTAATAAAGCCTACTTAAGCGAAGGAACTATTATATTAGCGGCGCAAATTTTTTTTTCCTTTAAAGGCCTACTCTTATATTACCTATATCTTAGGCCTATATTAAAAGGGATTCTTTTACCTTTACTATTAATAAATAGTCGATTATTATATAGTAAATAGTATCCCTTTTTTATTTATAGGTATATATTAGTAAGACTATACTAAGGACCTATTAGTTAAAGAGGAAGTCGTTAAGCTTAATCTTT